TGGCGTTTGCTAAAAATATAGTAAATAGATTACATAACCAAGTTACGAGTATCCTTTCGATTTCGTTTTATTGCAGCATACCTCCACTTCCCCCTCCCCACACATGATCCTTACGAACCTCCTAGGTAGTTTTCAGGTCAACTTTAGGAATCAGATCTCAGACTGGTTGTCATGGAAAAATCTTTCACAGCTAAGCTGTATGGCACCAATAATTAAAATCATGTATTTTAGTTCATAATGAGCTAAAATCATCAAATGTAGTGCCTAGTTAGTTAGAAAAATATCTCTAGCTTTTATTGGTATTGGTTAAAAAAATAAAAAATTAAAATTAAGATTTAGTGAGCCTCGCTATGTAATAGTTAATAGCCTACTTACTAAATTACTACATCTGTACAAAATACATTTTATTTTGGATAATTTAGGCAGATGACAGTCCTAATACTTCAATTACATTGTTATTATGATTAGGGCCTAGTTAGAGGTAATTACTAATTAGACTTATGATGACTTATGTTAGTCAAATAACTAATAGATTCATATTTAATAGCAGTAGGTCTATAGGCTTAAAATAGTATTGTAAAAATAAAGTATGCTTCATTTTTACAGTTGTCATATTACTTTTAGTTTCAGTAGGCCTACCTAGACTGTAGATTTAGATGTAGTAGCTTAGTAATAGTCTAGTAGGCCTGTGATAGGGTAGGTATATAGTATTGGTATGTAAGTTAAACAAAGTTAACTAGGCTTAATAAGGCTACAATTTTAAAATGTAAAAATTGCATGTAGCCTAAATAAAAGGCTACAGACTAGTACATTAAATAATATCCAAAATTTAAGTTTAATCTAGATTAGTAAGTCTAACAGTAATTTTAGGCGTCTAATAATAATAGTAAAAATTACTGAATAGAAGAGCATGCTTACTAGTAAAGAGCTGTCTTATTTTAGTTCTACTTAATTAACTTAATATATGATCTTTAGAACTTAAAATGCAGAATAGTTGATAAAGCCAAAAGGTGTCAATTGTCATAGATGGATTAACTTACTAATCAAATTAATATAATTATCCTAATATTTATTCTAGTATGTGTATGAATTAATGATAGTTATAGCAGCCTAGTTTGAATATCAATTTTCAACTAATTCCTGAGGTGGCTAAACATTAAGTAGTAGATCTTTATTGATACCTTTTTCTTTTTTTTTAACAATATATACATGACTTTTGGACTCTTTTGAAGGCCTATTGTATTTAATGACAAACTCCTTACATTAAAATATTAAAAGTAAACTATTAGACCTATATTTTTAATGAGTGGTAATGGTTAGATAGCCCATACAATCCAATACATAAATACACATCATTGCTTTATGATCTATATAAGACAGATAAATATTTTTATTTATAACATTAAGAGTTGAAAGTATGTAAACATAATGAGTTTAATATAACAGTTGATGACATTTATTTATGTTTTTTTTTAGATACTGTGGATTATACAACTGTATACAGAGAAGACAAAAGTCAAGATGAAGCTCAATTTAAAAACTGATCCAAGGATACATGTTGGACCCAAGAAAACTTGTTCATATTGAACAACTATTTTTTATTATGTTAGTTCTGAATAAATATGGTAATTAAAAAAAAGAAAATCATTAACTTTGTTATGTTTGTTTTTTTTCAGCACTGGTTGTGTGTGCTGGTGTAAGCGGAAACTAATTATCGCTACCTAGTTTTTAAGAATATGGTGCTGAAGTAGATTTCACCTAGTTAAGTTGCCTCTCCATATTAATAAATTGTATGGGCAGCAAAATGTCAAACAGCTTTTACTAAGTTTTACTGTCTATAAGCTGCTTTGAATTTGAATCAGAGACAACCTAAAGGATTAAAATTTCAACTCAAGAACTTTTGCTTTAGCAAATGTGTTCACAAATATGTAGTCCCAATCTAAGTCTTACATTTGCATATATCTATCATAGATGTAAAAAATAATGATGATATGGGAAGGATCAAGAATATGGTTTTTTGTCAATTCTACCCATACCAGCATATAAATGTAGACCACGTTTAGTGAAGCATGGCTGATAACTAACCATCAACCACAAATACAACAAACTATAATCACTGCCTGTTTCCTGGTAATGTGTTGTTATTGGCTGTGCAAGTTTATGAACATTTTGTAATTGTTTATATATTACAAAAGAAAAAGATTGTTGCTGATCAGATGCATTCCAGATATTTGAGGAAAAGATGTTTTCTATACAATAAGGATAGGCAGCTAGAGCAAATGAGGTTAGGGGAAATGTTAAGATAAACTATTTAATAATTGTAATGACAGAGACACCATCACAGCAACAAATGTAATTGGGTTTGTATGACTAATTAATGAATATCCTATAAATAATAGCAAAATGCTGTAGTGGTCGTCCATCAGACTTTAAGGTGGTGGGGGAGATTTGGACCTTCGTGTCAAGGGTGGGAGGGGGTTCAGAAAGTAAAATGACACTTTTCCATGTTCAACAAACACTCATGTTAAGAAACTGAATTTAAGCCTTTATTTGCATTATTAAAAGTTATTTTATAAATTTTTATAAAATAATTCATCAATAGGCCTACATTGAATGTTGGAAAAGCCCATAGGTCTAATTATTTTATGAAAATCGCTGCAATGGGGGGGGGAGGGGGGGGAGGGGGGGGGGGTTAGGTTTACTTTTTTGGGGAAGGGGGAGGTCTGGCATCGTTGTGACATCGTTAATAGATGACCCCATAGTCAGAGGTCGATCTAGATTGATTAGGCCTATATTAAAATGGTGATATTAATTACGCTTTACTTATTATTACAATGGAATATAGCCTAGTAGTTTATTTATATTAAATAATATAACATCCCCTTGCACCACAACACCCTGACTATACTAATCCAAATAAAAATAAAAATGTTTGGTAAATTACTATTATGTTATTAGTAATTATGTGTTTAAAATATGTCTAGCCTTAGTAAAACCGGAAGTGACTTTGTACTTCTTTCACAAATGTTATAAAATATTCAATTTTGGTTCAAAATATGCTTTCTGGCAACAAAAAGTGGAACCACTTTTGGAACCACTTTTCCAGTCTATAGAGTAACATGACTAAAAACCATTGCGTGCCTAGCTACCGAACGTGATGTCGCAGCAATTGAACGTGATGGCGCAGATATTGAACGTGATGACGCGTGTGGTGTGGTTGCATAAAATGCCTACTAATTCGGTACAAATTTTAATTAATTCAAAAAATGTTGTGTGACCAAACGAAAGGATATTTTTGAAAACTTTCTTCGGCAATATTGTTCTAAATTATGGCAGGAATCGATTGGTACATGTTTCAAGTAGCTAAGTGGTCTGGTTGCCAAGACATGGGCCAAAAACTGAATTTTTTCGAGGTTTTTTGGCTTTTCCGGGAAATCCATGAAAGAAACCCGGAATTTTTATGGCCTATGTTTATCCTCGTAACTTGCTTAACATAATTGTTTTTGTAACTAGTCATCGATATTGCTTCGTTGAGGAGGAGATACGACTTAAAGCTGCGGACACACATTCATCCATCCATCCATTCCCAGAAATGACGAGTTAATAAACGCAATTCTCCAGAATGGAAATTGCGCTAACAAACGAAGATAGCCGCTGTCCGCATAGTAGTGTGAAAATTTGATGGGGGGGGGGTACCATGTTTCACATCGCAGTAAACAGATTACCGTTGGCTGTAGAGGTTGGAAACGTTCAGGTTAAATAGCTAAATGGTGTTATTATCAGAATTGGTGTTAAACCATACTAGTAGAAAAAGTTTTAAATTGTCGAAACATGTGTGGTGTCTGACCTTAATTGTCCTCTTTAATTATCTAAATAACTCATTTTCAAAAGATTTAACACATGTAAACCTCACTAGGGCTAGTAGAGGCTCCCCTTTCGCACAATGGATAGCATTTTTACACCCCCTGTTGAAGCCGCACCTGCTGAATATAGGGCTGGTAAGTAGGACATCAACCAGTTCTATGGCTCAATAAGACCTGCATGAGCCATAGAACTGGTTGGTGACCTACTTACCGGCCCTATAGCTACCAATCAAAGATCATATCAGTACAAGTTTCCACAGTTTAACTTTCCATCTTGTTCATTAGATGTTTGTGGGACGATGTGGCCTAGCGGTGGAGCGCTAGACAGCTAACCCGATAGTTTTGACGTTGAATCCGGGTTCAAGTTAATGGAAAGTCCCTGGGTTCACCCAACTCTGAAGGGTACCTAACTCCCGTTATGGAAAGTAAAGGTGGCTGGTTACAGCGGTGACCATATTATCAATGTATATGCCGAGGTCAACAAACATAAACTCGACTCCATTTGCCTTAACGGATCTAATAGGAATCTTTTTTTAATGTGATGCTTACTATTACTATGTTTCATCAAAGTCAGTTGTGTCACATGGGTTAACAAGAATCTCCTATTTATAATTGAATATAATAATTTTTTAAAATTGATTTTTAATGACTAATTGTCAATTTAGTTAGGATTGAAATTTCGATATGTACGCATTGTAATCCAAGATCTACAATTGTGTTGAATGTTAGCTCAGTCGGACAAGGGGAAGTGGGTTAAATTAATATTTCTAGATTTGCGAGCCACACACACACACACTTACACACACAAAAACACATACGAAACGTACTGAGCCTGCTATATCAAAGCCTTTAAGGAATATCCATAATATGAAATATCACCCAAAGTTAATCTTTTTTTTTGTTTTTTATTTTAGATGTTGCTAAAAATAAATCAGCTTTTAAGATAAATTATCGTTAAACTTTATTATCACTGAAATTATCACTGAAAATAAAGATAAACATAGGTGCTTTTACAATACTGGCTATGTGTAGTATTGTTTACCTGTACTGTTCACTGATTAAGAACATACATATGGCTATGTTCTAATGTGTGTATGAGGTTTATATAAATATTTACGATCACATTTCTAATTGCAGGCAAGTGTTTAGCTTTTTCCACAGACAGGGTCATAACCACAGCTGATGAAACACTTAAGGTAAATAATCATAAAGTGATTAATAGACTTAAAAGAATCCGTAAAAACCGGACGGTTAAATGGTAGTTATGTTGTTTTGTAGAGTAATTTGTGTTAGTTTAACCAATCAAATTGTTTCTATCATGGCGTACGTCATTGTTTTTTTTTAGTTCTTGTCACAACCATGAACACTTTTCCTATTGCATAGTTAAAAACGTGTTTCTACATTCGATTAAGTCTTTATTTTTATTTTACTTTTTAAAATAAAATTTAGTTTATTTATTTGAAACATTCAGCATATTATTTTCAACAAAGAGCCGTATCTTTAAGATCTCCATGTATCGCTGAACATACTGATTACATAGCCTCAAAAATGTTGCAGAGAGAGAGAGAAATGGAGAGAGCGAGAGAGAGAGAGAGAGAGAGAGAAGTGCACACATGAGCTTTTATATATTATAATATATATATATAGAAAGCAAGCAAAGTTTTGGACCGGTCAATGGGAGGCGATATTGGCCAATTCGCGCATTGGCCGGCCAATCCGCGCAATGGCCGACTTCGGGCTTTAACCGTAACATATATATATTATAATATATTTGTGGGTATATATATATATATATATATATATATATATATATATATATATATATATATATATATATATATATATATATATATATATATATATATATACAGATATATGTATGTATTACCTATTTCTACATTTCTATACATATTGTTTCCTAATCTCGAGGGCAGGATTGTTTTAACTCTTGCTCCAAAACACAATACTGCTTTTGGTATGAGTTTGGCGGCTCTAATGTCTGCCGCATTTCCACCCTAAGCGGGACTGCAGATTTAAATGTTGACGATCCAGCCTATGTATATATTGGCTGCTAAATAACGTAAGTGCAACAATTGTTAATCTAATTAAGATAACGATTAAAGTTTTCTATGCAAACACAATAACGTATGAGTAATATTTTAAAATGTTATCTAAGGATCATACAATTAACAATGTGTTTAACATTAATTCAGACTTCATTGCAGAATGTACACACTGTGTTTAATATATTTCAAATTTACGCAATACGTATTCGATTGGTGCTCGTCACCGAGTCCATCTAAATGTGATTGGTACTAGACCTTAGTTAGGGAAAACAAAAGCGGTTGGGGAAAGTGCTAAATAAATTATCCGTTTATATGCCTAGGTCACAGAAACTTGATAGCTCTACTTCACATACTCGGTCGATTTAAAGTGACATTTATAATACAGTTTATTGACATAGCTTTATAAATGATATTAATTTATATAAACATGTATATATATATATATATATATTTATATATATATATATATATATATATATATATATATATATATATATATATATATATGTGTGTGTGTGTGTGAGTGCGTGTGTGTGTGTATTGGAATGTGTGTGTTTAAAATTGTAATTTTTCATGAGTTTAATCAATTGTATATTTACAGAACTACTCATCTGCCTGAGTCTTCTGGGAAAAAATACGATGTAAAATATTTGTGGCATGTTTTATTTTTATATCTTTAGGTGTACAATGCAGATGAAATTATTTAACTGTTTAATTCTAAGCTTTTTAGCATTTTACTTTCTCGTATATACGAAGTATAGAGAAAGTCTTGTAATCGTGCAAAAACAAAATCGAGATTTTTGCAAATCTCGACGTTTTACACCTCACTGATACGGAAAAACATAATTTTGCAATCTTGTCCGTATGTCTGTGTGTCTGTCTGTCTGTCTGTCCGTGTGTAAACACGATTACTTGAGTACCGTTACAGCTAGATTGATGAAATTTCATATATAAGTATTTTATCAAAATCTTAGATCCGTATCAACTTTTGAGCGATTTCCGATAACCGGAAGTGATACTTTTTCTACTTTGTATTTTTCAAAAGCCTATAACTTGAGTACTATTTCATCTAGATAAATGAAATTTCACATGTAAGTAAAA